GGGCCGTTCGTCGGGCGTCGAGAAGCCATCGCCTGTTGGTCAGTGTCAGTAGGGTATCAGCTGAGGCCGTCGGAGGACCCTGCGTGCGGTTCTCGGCATTGCAGGGCGCCAGACGTACTGCAAAAGGATTTCAATATGCGAGCAGCCTTTTCGCACTCTCTATCGAGCGTGGTAGGCCAGAATGCTTCCTTGGCCAGTCGGGAAGAGCGGGACGAGGGGATCTTATCAGCCCACCCGCGCACCTTTTCGACGCTGTTCTTACGAACATGGTTGCTGGTGTAACTACTGGCGCTCGACCTATTACGATCCCAGCTTGGGAGGAGGGACGAAACCCGCTGCATTGCTATCGAGCCGGTACGCCGGTGCGGGCAACACGAGCGGTGGTCGCTCTTTCAGCGACGGGAGGTGGCCAGCACAAACTACTGGTACTGGCCAGTCGTTGGAATCGCCAGAGAACTGATGGTCGGTCCCGAGACCAGGGAATTCCATCCAGGGTGTTTGTTAGGTAATCTCCTCGAGTTGGATCGGAGTGACTGGAATGAGAGGGGAGGCTCGAATTACGTGTAGGCACAGGCAATGTATAACAGCAGGTGGGTTGTGCAGAAGGATGTCTATAGGGAGCAGTTCAGTTCACTGGTTTAGTCTATAGCAAGGTTTCGCCTAATGACCTTGCGACCTCGAGATCGAGACGGACCATTAAGCACGAGCACGGGCACCGGGCCTTGGTCAGAGGGGAGAAAGCTGGAGGGATACGTAAGGATGGGCTGCAGATCGTGGATGTCGGTGGCTGCAGGTCAACAGTGACGTTTTGGGGCTTGTTAGGCCCGCGGACAGCCCAGTCGCACGCACTATCTACTGTACTGTACCTACTAGGAGCTAGTCGTGTTGACCAGGTGCAGTACATACATACAATACCACACTACCTACTATTAGTAGGTATCTAATGCAGGTAGAGGCGCAACCCCCTGTGCCCTGCGTCGGCGGGCTATTGGGGTTGCATTGAGCATGCTGTCTGGCACTACCTACCTAAGTGATAGGTACAGTACTTAGCGCTTCTTTCACAGCAGGTGCCCCCCATAGGTACCCGAGACCCGAGGCATTACTGGAGTGTAGTGTACCTACATACTGGGCAGTCGAGGTGGGCAATTTCCATACATACATGTATGTAGGCAGAGGGAGGTAGTACCCAATGGTGGTATGAAGGTGCAGTAGTGTATTGTATCTCCTATCTATGTATACTAATAGCAGGAACCTGCCTGACGTTGGAACCTTGAATGGAACTGTATGCGGAAGCTTAGCATTTCTTACTATACATAGCACAGCACAACTTCTTCTAGGTTCAAGTCATCACTATACTACAGTACCTTAGCAGGTATCTCTAGATAGGTGCGATGGGCAACACACACATAGGCCCGCTTATGATGTCAAGAGCCCGAGCCTGGCGCAACATACCTACATACAGTACAGTACAATACGTACAGTAGAATTAGGTACTATTTGTATAGAAAGTGGGATGGATAGGTGCCTTACTGCAATTTGGGACCATACTGTAACCGCGACAAGAATAATTTTGTCCCGTTGCGCGCAGACCCTGAGGCGTTTGGATGGCCGAGGTATTGGTATTGGCAAGACATACGACACATAGCTTAGCTTGGACGCCGAGGGTAATAATCCGTGGATCCTCAGCTGTCTACAAGCCACCCGTTTTCCTCGTTGGGAATGGCTTCGATGCGAAGGGGGGCGCGGTCGCTCCTTGCAAATTCAGGAACATGATAGCATCTCGTGGTTCTCCACAGATTGTGGGATGGTGGAGGAGCAGTGCATCGTGGTAGTAAGTAGTAACAGTCTAACAGACTACCTAGAATAGGTACTTGCAGTATCTCCGTTCTGGATGCATACATTACTTAGGGAACCCCCAGTTCAGTTCGAGGCAGGCTGGGCTGGCCGATGATGGAGATGATGGAGGGTGAGACTAGTGTATACTGTAAGCGGGAACGACGGAAATGATCAAAACACTACCGAATGCCTGCCGTCCGTGTTAGACCAATTCTTGTTGTTTGTTTGTTGTTGTTATTTTCTCTCATATACACATGCCTACTACAGTAGTTGTTCTCTGGAAGCAGAGTGCGGTAGGCTGATCCTCCATCTGGTGCATTGTGACTGTTGCATTGCTTGATGTCGCCGGAAACACCAAGGAATTGTTGTGTTGTACTTCATACCTCACCTCGCCTTACCTTGCCTTACCTTACCTCGTCTCGCCTCGTCTCGCCTCGCATCGCATACATCGCCTTACTCTGACTGACACCTGCGAGCAACAGCATCGCGTGTTGTAATAACGCTGTTGGTATACTAGAATGATATGATAGCTTGACGCCACTAGACACGCTCGCATTTGACTTCACACATCATATTGCCCGGACTAGTATAGGAATAGTGCTGCGCTGCTAGTGATAAGTTTGTTATCATACAGTAAAGAAGGGAAAAAGAAAAACGTGAGTGATGGTGAGCAAGAGACCTCGAAGATTTGGGTTGTTCCGCGTGCAGGACGCTATTAAACATAATACCCCACTGCCGATGCCAACGACCGAGTCAACCCGAGACACTTCAACAAGTCCACGCTTGCTCTCTTCTTGCCGACTCGCATCTTTTGCATCTTTTGGCTCGTGCCCTTCGGCAATGTTGTCTCGGGAAGCAATCTAACATGCAGCCAGAATCTACAGCATAAAATTGCAGTACAGCAGCAGGAACCTTCGTTCTTATTGCTCACCGAATGTTTTCCCTGCCAAGCAAGTTGTCTGATACATGCTGTACCTATCAATTTTGACAAAATTACCTCCCATTAATTACAGTATTAGCCATCATGTCACCTATACTAGGTAGTATGCACACCTCATGGTTCGGTCTTGTCTGTCTCGTTGCCATGGCCGAAGCTTACATATGGAGAGGACGAAGAAAAAAAGAGTAAACGAACAGAGAGAAACCCCCTGTCCTATTATCCCTGCGGCCCTAGCCGAAACTCCCGGATCGGCAGCTCAAGACTAAGTACACTAAGTACTGTATATTCCAATTCATAGTCTCCATCGCCGGTCGAGAAGAGGATAGTAATAAGCAAGGCTCGGGTGAGCTAATCCTACAATACTACCGTAATTCAACCCCCAATACAACAATGTATACCCATAATCCTTTGCCTTGGGGGCCGCCAAAGAATGGCGGTAAACACCAAGGGCTTGTTCTGAAGTCTGTTATTACTTGTATACTAGCATCTCACTTACTCACGCATGCCCAGGTGCTAGTAATACCCTTGCCTAGCGTACCTATCATTCTATACTACACTATACCAAGGTTGGCATACCTGGTCTACAGGTATGTATGTACAGATTACAGATCACCACACATATGCTTCACGAACATCTTGTTTTCATACCTACCTACCTGCTACAGTACAGTACCTACAGCAGACACTGCCTATAGGTATTGTACCACCTATCACATTTGCATTACTGTACTATTTATCTCATAGGTGGCTTGTGGCTCCTACCTGTCACATCGATGCGTTGCTGTTCTATTCTTGGCGAATGAGGATTTTGTAAAAAAGAAAAAAAGGAACCAGACACATCGCCGAAACGACGGGCAGGGTCTCTCCCCAGGCCCACCACGCTAATGAGATCCGCCTCTTGTCTCATCAGCCATCCACGGTGTTGGGACTTAACGTCGTCGATGGTTTTTTCCCTCTTTCCCTGCCGCGCTCGACACAAGCAAGGCTATCCCGACCAGCGATCCCGACCCGGGCAAACCGCACGCTTACGACAAGTATGCAACTAGTTCCACGCTTACCAGTAGCAGGCACACACGCAATGCTTGTGTTTCATAACAATCTCGATTTTTGGTTGTTCGTCAGGACACCTCGACCTAGCCGACCACCGCACGACGCAATTGTGCGACCGGCTGCAATTCTATTTTGTCTGACCGCCGTCCGATCGCAATCAATCAATCAATCGTTGCAAAGAAGACTACACTCCCTAGTCTACGTAAGTAGTCATCACGGGGTTTCCCGAAGCCTCACCGACTTTGTCATTGTGTGTTATTGTTGCAACGGGCTCGGGGAAAAAAGTGAATGTCGATGATCGTCTTCGAGCGTCTCGACTGGACACACCGTGTAACGGCATCCGCGCAATCACGCCCCCAAGATAATCTTCCGTCCAATAGGTGATTTCTTCCGCGCTAGACAGTCCCTCCTTCTCGATCAGCTGATGACGAGCCAGATCATCACACACGCTCGGACGTTTCGCTACCATGCAATGCGCGTGCTACCAGATGTAGTGTACACGAGGTAGGCCGTATATTACGCTGCAGCAGCGGTGGTAGTCAACGCATTTGATTGAAGGACAGAGACCCTACAGCACCTACAGCACGTTTGGACATGAGTAAGCAGGATTTGATTGCCAGCTTGCTTGTTTACTTTGCTTACAGCAAGTATCAGCCTCATTGTTGACGTACATACACAGTATGCACCAGCCCTTCGTAAAGATAAGGTTGAGGTGGAGCATACGCCCTATTCCACCAGTACTGTAGTATACAGGCACTATAGGTATTAATCACAATGTACGAAGTATTGTGTATCTATCTATATACACCAATCTTTTTTTTTTTTTTTTTTTTTTTTTTTGGTGTTTTGATACTGTAGACCAAGTATTGTATTGACTTCACCTTGAGCTTCAACCAATATTCCCCTCTAGTTCCAGGTAAGTAAGACTTGCCCTACGGTTACCTTGACTACCTCCACGTAACCAGTGTGACTCTGGAAAAAAAAGAGTCTGGGAAATTCCGCTCGAAATTTCTTTCGGGCAGGGGGTTGTTATCCCCCAACTGCGATTCGTTCACTCTACTGTATAGTTCCCCCTCCAGTTCTCAACTACCTACTGTAGGTATCTCCATAGACATATCGACAACGGCAGCATTAGGACCTACAACCCTAATTCCCAACTCTCTCTACGATGTATTGACAACGACATGATTTGAACCTAGGGCCCCGAAGGGATACGATTATCTAGATATAAGTAAGTCCCAGTCGTACGCTTTAACCACTCAGCCACGTTGCCATGTCGTCTAGTTTTTTAATAGTACTGCTAAGTGGCGTGTGGAGGTGGAAATTTTGAAGCCATCGTCACTCCACCACTACAGTGCAAAATCGCTAGTGCCTCTACTGTAAGTCATCTTGACAGGTCCCGGTGGTAGGGTACGGTGGCTTATACCGGTCCACGCCGAAGCCTTGTCAGCAAGCCAACTGATTCGGGGTAATAGGTAGCTAGCCAGTAAGTACTCGGTGGGCAAAAGGTAGTGTAGGTAGTGAGTGTACTGCTGAGATCTGCTGTAGACCTGCAAGCCCCAAAATAATCGTCCGTTCGGATGGTTGGACCTATCGGGTATCTGGCAACGATGATGACGGGCTCTTCAGAACACAGGCTAGGACCGGAACACGAGCGAATACTACAGTCACTACTCCGTCGAGAACTCTCGTTGTCTCGTGAACAAACCTGTTGTGCTCTCTGTGTTTCAACCGCGAACATATGACTATATAAATCTCACTCGTGTAGTTCCACCGCAAGTCGTTAGCGACTCACGTCAAGCCACGATGTTATTAGGCTTATCTCACCGCTGCTCACTCTGAAGGGAGATCGTCGGAGCTAGTCCTGGAGCTCGATGGGAAGGTCACGAGGGGCATGCCGTAAAGGCGCAAAGTCAGACGAGGAAGAGAATAGGACAGAAACGCCATTTGCTGGCAACTGAAGTGTTTGCAGTCTATGCTAGATACCTAATGCAACAACCTGAACAGTCACGTTATTCAATTTCACAATCCTCCTCCTCCGCTTCTCTCCTTCCCCCAGAAAAATAAGCAAGATCTAGCCAAGCTGCGTGTGTTCGTCTTCCTCCGTATTCTTCCGCATAATTCGTGAAACAATGCTCGTGTGATGCAACCATAGATCCTAGAGAGAATATGCCAATAAGAAAGAGAGTGTGTATGACCGCCAAGCTCTTTCTCCTCCTTCTTGAGGTCCAAATAAACATGAACAATCTTGCAAAATATCAATTTCCCTTAAGAACGCCGCATTACCCATACCAATCAATCCCTGAGGAAGGTTGTGCAAAATTGTCTATAAGTGGAGTGTGGTGGCCGTAACTCATGTGCAAAATAGTTGCCTCCATTACGTCCCGCGTGGAGACAAGGCGATTTCGTGTGTCATAATTGTCAACATGCTGTTATTTTTCGCTTTCGTATCAAGAAATAAAATAAGAAACCACAGTAAAACGCCAGCCATCTTGGCTACTAGGTGCCTTGGTGATGCAAGAATGTCTTGTGAGACGGGAGGTCGAGAAAGGGTGGTGCGGTAACAATAGAATTGTAACGTGGTCCAATTTGATACCAATCCTGGTCCTAAGCTTCCATGTAGTACTAGGGGTGGTTGTGGTTGTGGAAAGTGGTCGATCAATCGGTGGATTATTCGTCTTCTCGCACCATCGCATTCCCACCAGGGTAGATGCCGCCCTTGAGGACGTATTGCTCGAAGGGGAGACAACTAATAGTCTTGCGTGATGATCGAACCCATCGAGGCTTGGGAACATCCTCCCAGTTCTCGTCGGTAAGAGGATAGAAGTTGTAGGTCTCGTGCGTAGGCAGGTCCTGGTGCTCGCAATCGAATATGCCCTCGAGATGCATGCGTTCCAGCTTCGGCAACTTCGCTCGCAGACCAGTGAATAACGATCGGAATGTTCCTTCGTAGAGATGTATACCTCCGTGTGATGCTTCGAATGGTTTAGCTAGCCCACGACCGCCCAGTCGTAGTCGTACCAAGGTAGAACCGTGTCGCCCCAAGAACTCCTTCAGATCCTCCTCGTCACATGATACACCTTCTAGTACCAGGTCCGTGAGCCGTGTGTATGTAAAATCAAAAAGTAGTTCCCCGAACGAGAGTGCAAACCTCGAGTGCTCGCTCGAATAGGGATGGAATGCAAGCTTCAGATGTGTTACATTGGTGGCGAGTTGAAGTATGCGACCCAGGCCATTTACAGCCCGAAATGCTGACGTCGGTCCCCGGAGTCCAGAAGGGTCCAAAGTCAAGTTGAGGCTAGACAGACTCTTGAAAGATTGAGCATGGGTAAACCAATGCGAGCGGTGGTTGCTCATCCGAAAGATTTCGAGAGGCAGCCTATCGACTTTGAACGAAGACAGCTTGACCCCGTGTAGAGCGAACATGATTGCATCTAGGTTCTGGTAAGTTTCCTGCCGATCCAGCTTCCTGCAGTTGGGCCAGAAGAAGGCCTCCTGGATGAACTTGTTGTTGAGTGTAGACGGGCATTGCGCAAAGGAAACCTCGAGATCACGAAGATTGGGCAAAGCCGAGCAGGCCTCACGGAGGTCGTCGGCCCTCAGGTGGAGGGGACCGACCTTCTTACGCCCTGCTGCAATCTTGTCGAATTCTACTCGAGCGTGTGCCATCAGCTCGGCACGTTCCTCTGGAGGGGCCACAAAGTGCTGGGCCCTACTTAGGTTTGTATTAGCTAGGAACCGATAAATAGTGGTAAAAGAACGCCTCAACCGAACACTCATCTCGATGCGGGCTCCCGAGAGGATCCCTGGCGAAGGTACGGTGTTGCGCAGCAATCAAGAAGGGACTTACCATGAAGTACTCCATGCATCATAGTACGACAGCTCTCCGAGGAAAATGTTGATTGACTGGATACTCCCTCGGAGGCGTTCGTGGAGTGCGATGTTGTGTAGCCGATCAATATCAAGGCGCCAATTGAGAGAGGTGAAGCGCGGCGATAGCAGATATTCGTAACCGATGTCTGCTAGTGTCGGGCTCACGGCGCGCAAATTGGGAATGGATTCGAGATCACAGTAGGAGTAGATGAGCCGGAGGAGCTCGACAGGTAAAGAATCCATGGGGAAGCGAGAGGGAGGGATTCTGCTGACTGGCAGTGGAAAATAGGCGGGATGGGAAAATATTACTAGGTTAACTGGAAAAGCCGCCAAACTCCGCCAGATAATCAAGACACTGGATTGGATAAACACGAAACGCCGGGACGGGAAACTCGGGGCAGCGGTATAGAAAATGAGAGAAAGCTTTCAGGTGTTCCTGCAAGTCGGCAGGAGGACGCAAAACTAGGAAATATATACCAGGGCCCGAGGGAGAGCAGAAGGCGTTGTGCAGCGGTCTCAACGAAGAGGCGGAGAGAGGTTCATTTGTGCTTTTCTGCTTCTGCAGCGAGCCAAGCCTCTCCGATTTAGGACAAGGACAAAGAGGGAAAGCGACTAGAAGTATCGGTGAGAGTGAGACACACGTAGGCACATGCCTGTATCTGACGGGCAGCAGCAGCAGAAGTTTTCTCGTGGAATGACTGGCGGACGAGACTGGCCGGACTGGGCCCTGTCGGATGGATCTGACTATCGCGCCTGAGCCTGACAACAGACGACCACGAAACGGAAAATAAGATCAAATCGCCAAAGTAGCGGTATAGCAGCGGTAAGGCGGGTGTACCCTTGGTGTGACACCTGCAGCACCCTCCATGGCCATGCCCGAAAGGGGACGTTACGGTGAGAGATGCTGCACAGTCCTGCCAGTCGGGTCTCTTACTGTGGCCTGCCACTTATGCCACTATGAGTACCTGCATTAGATCCCACGAGGCAGCTTGACACTGTGGTTTCTCGGTGAGCTGGGACGAGATGCGAAGTCCTTCGAGCATCTCCCTGTGATTCGCCTGCGTCATGCTGGGTCCGCCAAGGGGGCCTGGTCGCGCGCCAGCTCGCCAGCTCAGGCGGCCCCCGAATCGCTACCCAACAACCAGCTCTGAGCTTTGAGCTTTTGAGCTTTGAGCTCTGAGGTCTGAGCTTTGGTAACGAGAACCAAGGAAAAACTTCGACGTCGGACAAAACTTGGTGGCGGGCACCTTAGCTAAGTCTGCTGGACCTAGTAGTACCCAAGTATACCTACATATACATACTTGGACAATCTTTTCAAATACCGGCTAACGTTTCTCTGCTATCTGGTGTCCCATTTGTGTGCAATGAGCGATCGAGGTATCATTTAAGTACCTATGAACAATTGCCCGTCGACATTTCCCCCATCCATCCATTCATAAGTACACCCGCCTACCTAGTACCTACGTCGCATCGCCAAATTTCCTATGGATTATGCATCATATCCACCAACAACTGGTCCCGGTAAACAGGTACTTCCAATCCAAACTGCCGGCAACGATAGCCCGAATGGGTGGAGGCCACGCCGCCAAGAGGAGCCCTCAACACGTCAGTACATTAGTCTAGCGCCAGGTGCTTTCGAGACCGCAAGATACCGAGCGCCTATAACTTTCCATGTCGTGCCCGAAAGAGTTCCACTTTGTCGTCGTAGTAAATAATATCACGTAGACGTAGCCGTGGGAGTGCATTATTCGCTGTCTCTTCGGTAAAAGAATCCGCCTCTGATTGGTCGTCATCAGATCCTTCCTCCGTGAATTCATCCTCGACGTCCATGAAGGGCTCAATTTCTTCATCTTCATCAGTCATGTCATCGCCTTCGCTGTTCCCGTCGATGTGATCTACATCGTCTACGGGTACCGCATGGTCATTGTCATCTTGGAAACGATTGTTGTCGCTGCCGTTATGCTCTACCTCTGTAATTTCGAAGCACTTGCGCCAGAGTCCTACGTACGCAAGTTGTATCTCCCTTCTCAAGCTAATTATATCCACAATCTGAAGAGCGAGCTCTTTCGGTGCGGGAGGCGGCCTAGGGTGGCGATCAAGCATTTGCGGAATATAGAGAGAACGCAGGTTAGCCATCTGAGGCAGTTGCTGGAGAAGTGTATGCTGTGTTTTATTGTATCAGCGGATTGCGTGGTAACCGGTTTCGGAAATATACTAACCCAGTCTTTAAAATCGATCACCATGCCTAATTCTCTCAAACTCGTCATCCTACCGCTGGTGATATAGGATAAGAATTCGTCTTTCACGGCCCAATGCTTCCAACGCCCGACTGTGTCCGCCATCGCAGTATTTGTCGCCTCTTTCTCCGAGCTATCGATAAGAAGTTTTTTAAGGCTGTTT